GGCGATCCTTAAATAGAATAAATTCATTCCGTTTTTTATTTTAAACCAAACTTGATCTTGACATTTTCAGTAAGATTTTCATAGAGATGCTCCTGGGGCCTTCTGCTCAAAATTTGGACAACTTCATGCCCGTGACATGACATCATTTTACACATTAGATAAAATGAAAATCGGATGAGATGGACAAATTCAGAAGGGATAGAATTTACTGATGTTTTTGAATACGTGGCATGGCAATTGCCTTTCGCAGGATGAAAATATTCATTGTACTTTTCTTTAATCACAAATGTTGTGAATCTCCCTGGAGTCTAGAAAGTCTTTCCTATTTCTTAATTACCAAATCTTGGGTTGCATGTAGCTTTCTCGTTGTTCCTGTTGCCCCCAGGGCTGTCTCTGCCATTTCCTCTGAAAACAACTATACATTAACATTCAAGGTTTGAGTCGGGGGCTGGGAGGTGAAGGGAAAGGTGATAATTCAGATGTTATGAAACTGTGATAATGCTATTATTTAAGGCACTTATTTGGGTATGTTTATACTTTGTAGTTTTATAAATAAGCCCAAGGGACTCCTCTTGGTTGTCACAGTCCCCCTTGAATCTCGTATCCTGTCTGTCTCATCCTATCCGACAGTAGAATTGATGCCGCTCTAATCCCTGGAAGTTTGGAACTAATGAACTGACTGCTGAGCTGCCGCCACGGAGCTTGGTCCCAAACTATACTGTACTTCACACTCGATTTATTCTCCAGATGGCGAGACTGTGCCGCCCTGCCGCGAGGGACCACCTCTTCCACTGGAGTGTAAAAGTGGACGGATGTTGTTTTCTTTGCAGATTTGATCATTCTGAGCTAGAAACTTGCGAGGATGATTAGTTATTAGCTTTAATGGGTGCCAATTGAACCAACTGCACGCATATTTTCTCCTTTAATTTCAGAGTCTGCAGGTTTTGGTGATGGTTGATTTCTCCGCTTTCTTACGTCACCAGAGCGTGTCTCTTCCCCAGGTGATAGGAATCCAGTCTCTGAAATCATAGCACGCCTTGGTTCCTGGCCCAGACAGAGTCACATAATACGGTGGCTTATGGATAAGGACAAGTTTATTAGCCACTGGTCCACTGCACTGAGCAGCATGGCACGAAATATCGATTGAATGCGGCAACTTTGGGAACACCATTTTTTAGAATGGGGACCTGCAAACATTGTCATCTGTGCCAACTTCCTCTATGACCTGGGCAGAGTCCACCTCTGGAATCAAACATGATCCAGAACACACTATGGTACTTAGTCTCTTCAAAGGTCCAATGTAACTGTTGATAAAGGCCTTAATTCCATTATTCAGTCATTTCCAGCTTGTCAGATCTTGGGGGACAAGTTCATTCCACAGTGAGAGTGGCTCACCAAGGCTGCCCTGTAGCATTAACATATTTAGAATGCAGTCCCTCTGAAACCTCATTTTAAGCAACCTGTATTGCTCCCAGAGTATAAAAGCCCCCATAAAAGCTCTTTTTGGGGTGGCCTCTTTTACCTTAATTTCCTTTTTCTCCTTTCTCCCGGAAGCACTTACCTCCCAATAATCGTAGGAGATCACCCTGAGAGCCCTTCTGAGAGCCGGGTCAGCCAGACGGCCTCTTGCTAATCCACCTAAGATGGATATTGGAGGGATGGTCAGAGCCAACCAGGAGCCAAAGAAAGAGAGAAAAAAAGAAGGAAAGTGTGAAGCGTGAAGGATGAGGTGGTGGAGATGAGAGAGAGCTGAGAGCGCTGTTAGCAAGAAGTACAGTGTGTGTTGAAGAGAGAGAGAGAACAAGTGAGAGAATAAAATGAACAGAATTTGTTTCTTTTCACAACTGGGTGGACTGTGACTCTCTCGAACTGAACACCCAGAACTAAACTTAATTGTTCTTAGAAACTGCCTTCCTCCCAACCCAACAGATGGCATGGGCGTGTTTGCTAGCAGAGTCACATATTTCACCCTGAAAATACCAAAAAGAAAAAAAAAATTCAACATGCTCGTTGGTTGGGATAAATTCACTGAAGTTGTTGAGTGTTTTGGGATATATACCAGAGGGATGCACACTTGGTTTATGTAAATTGTAACAAGCAACAGCCTGTTAATAAGGGTGTTGTATGGCAATATACCTCAAAAGCCATCCTCTCTTTTTGGAAAGGTACAGAATGATGAAGTGGAAAGAACTTGGTTTTCATTCTGAGCCAAAATTTTTTAAATGCTGAGTATTCACTGCTCATTATTATAATATGAAAAGTACTAATCATATTATGCCTAAAATTGGAATTAGGTACTTCATTTGCAGCCAATTTCACAAGGGCCGAATTTTGCTAAGTAAACTGGAATGTGCTGAAACCATGGCAATCTGACTTTAGATAAAAATCGCAAACAGGTTTAGAATATGAGCTTTGAACAAACAGTCCCTTCAAATCCAAGTGAAGCCAAACAGTTTCGAGATCGGATTTTGTTTGACACCAATCAACATTAACAATTTAGGAAGTTGATGTTGCCAGGGATCCCGCATCCTTGAGCACACATGCAAATTAGATGATGGAGAAGATGACTCAAATAACTTAAGCTTTAAAATGCAGTATGGCCTAAAAAATCGAGTGAGTTCCCTTCAGTTTTCCATTCATACTGTCCTAGTAGACTCTTTGCAAGGCTGACTTAGCTATTTAAAAGGGAACCTGAAAGTTATGTTGCCAAACTCCAGCAATCTCGTTTTTTTGTAGCTGCATAGGCTGCACAGAGCAGAACATGCTTTAGATTGTCCACAGCCATGGATCTAAATGTGCCTTTGAAAAAGCGGGAAGAGTTTTTTAGTTTGCTTGTTTTCATTTTTGAGATGAAGTCTTGCTCTGTGTCCTCTGCTAGAGTGCAGAAGTGCAGTCTCTGCTCACTGCAACCTCTACCTCTTGAGTTCAAGCGATTCTCCTGCCTCAGCCTCCCGAGTAGCTGGAACTACAGGCACGTGCCGCCACACCCGGCTAATTTTTGTATTTTTAGTAGAGATGGGGTTTCACCATGTTGGCCAAGCCGGTCTCGAACTCTTGACCTCAGGTGATCCGCCCCCTCAGCCTCCCAAAGTGCTGGGATTACAGGTGTGAGCCACCGTGCCGGGCCAGAACTCAAGTATTTCTCCCAGCAGCTCTAGACGGCTTTAGAGCCAAGATACTGAGCTAACTTCTGCCCTTCACCTTCAAGATTTTCGTATTTAGGGCCAGGCGCCATGGCTCACACCTGTAATCCTGATATCAGGAATTCGAGGTCAGCCTGGCCAACACAGTGAAACCTCGTCTGTACTAAAAATACAAAACTTAGCTGAGTGTGGTGGTGGGTGCCTGTAGTCTCAGCTACTCGGGAGGCTGAGGCAGGAGAATCACTTGAACTCCGGAGGCAGAGATTGCAATGAGCTGAGATCACGCCACTGCACTCCAGCCTGGATGACAGAGTGAGACTCTATCTCAAAAAAAAAAAAAAAAAAAAAAAAAAAAAAAGAGTGCATGGTAGAGCAAGTGGGCGAGTTTTATATCTATGGAATAAAACAAAGGTATGATGTGGAACCAAGCCATTGTTGGCTGCATCATCTCTGACTTTAGCTAGTCTGAGCTCTCTGTTGCTTTTGTCTGAGCTTGGCCTAATTATTGGCAGCTGAAGCTTGGTAAATCAGGACTTCACAGAGCGGTCCTAAACTGTCTTAGGTACTCTTTCCATCTGACCTGACAACTCTAAGCTACCGTTTCCTCACATTGTTTAACTCAGACCACATTTGGAAGCCTTACTTGCGCCTCCCCGCTCATACACCCACATCTGTCTGGTTTAAATCTACTGTCCTGGGTTGTCTTGTTGCTTGGACTTAGACTCAATATTGCCTTAAATGATTCTTTTTTGTCTCTACTTTGGTTTTGCTATTTTTCTAGATCAGTATTGCTTTTCAAATGGCTACGTATTGTGGAGACTTTTTTTTAAACTACATTCATCAGCAGTGAGAAGCTTTAAAGTTTTATTAGTATCATAAAAACCCTTCCCAAATGAAACTACTTTTGATAAGTGTTCATTCTGACAATGAGAATTTGTTGAGGGCTGTTGGCAAGTTGGAGGAGTTTGCTTTTGAAACTGAAATTGGCAGGAAGTAATGACCTCAAGTGCTTTCTTTCTCTTGACTCCAGCCCTCACCCTTTCCATGCACTTCTTTCTCTCCCCCACCCCACCGTCATCACCCCCAAGCTGAAACCAATAAATAACATACCTGGTTTCATATAGTTTTTCTGGGGACAGTTCAAATACTGAAGCAGACTTTCAGCCTTTCAGCTTTTCTGAACTGTGGAGCAGAGCCTGTCAAGTCAAAGAAAAAAATGTATTTGTCAAGCCCTTCATGAAGGGATTCCTTGCCTTCCACCTGAAGAAGTGGGAGCTTTTTTTGTAGTATGCATTGTCAGATTCCTGTGAGCATCTTCTTAATTGAATGTCAAGATTCAACTCAGTTGCAATAAAATAGTGAGTAAAAAAAAAAAAGCATGATGCATGTGGAAAAAGAAAAATCCTTATTTTTTCCCTAATGTGAAGAAGCTGACAGACGAGACGGCCACAATCTAGATGTTAGCCAATTTCTTATGTTTATTAAATGAGAAAGTGCAGGTAAAGAACCTAGAACCATGCTTAGCACTTACTTAATGCTCAATCAGTGAAAAATTACCCATTAACCATTTTCCCCTTCCAATTGGGAAGTAATGCTAATGAGAAAGACGACACTCCCACTCTGGCATTGCAGTGCGTCTCGGCTATGTTACAGCTGTGGCGAATGAAGCCTAGAAATCAACTGCTCACCTTTCAGACGGGATGACTTCTTTCAAATATTACTTGTTTGGTGGACAGGAAATGTGTAGATCAAGTAATGGTGCTCAGACTCTGAATCCAAGTAACAGTTTCATAAACCATTTGATGGTGCTCCCCTCAATGATAAAAATCACAATAAACTTTTTATTGACGCTTATAGAATGAAGCTCGACTGAGAATTGTAAAAACTCTTGAAGACTTTGATCTGGGCCCTACTGAAAAATGTGTGAGAGTCAACTCAGTTTCCAGCGGTCTGGCAGAAGAAGATCTAGAGACCCTTTTGCAATCCCGGGTCCTTCCTTCCAGCCTGATGCTACCAAAGGTGGAAAGTCCTGAAGAAATCCAGTGGGTGAGTAGCTAATGCTTTGCTTTAAGATTCAGGAGAGGCCGGGCGCTGTGGCTCACGCCTGGAATCCCAGCACTTTGGGAGGCCGAGGCAGGCGGAGCACGAGGTCAGGAGATCGAGACCATCCTGGCTAACACGGTGAAACCCCGTCTCTACTAAAAACACAAAAAATTAGCCGGGCGAGGTGGCGGGCGCCTGTAGTCCCAGCTACTCGGGAGGCTGAGGCAGGAGAATGGCGTGAACCCGGGAGGTGGAGCTTGCAGTGAGCCGAGATCGCGCCACTGCACTCCAGCCTGGGCCACAGAGCGAGACTCCGTCTCAAAAAGACTCAAGAGCAGCTAAGGAGGAGTGGAAAGAAGAAGGGATCTGGGTGCCACAGGTTTGGAAAATGCACGCACAGAGCAGAGAGGAAGGGATTTGAGAAAAAGCAGTAAGCGCAAGAATCCGTTTCTTTCACACAAGGAAAACTCGCCTTTGCCCAAATGCACTTTTGAAATGATGCTTCGCTTCCTAATTGGATGTGTGGTTTGGCCAGAACAAGCTCCTCAGTAGCCCTCCTAGAGTAATCCCTGGAAACTAGGTTGCCCGAGAATTTCATCCCTTCCTCCACCCTGCCCGGCCCTGAGCCAAGGCCTCCACCTGGAAGAGCAGTGACGTAAGTGGCCCTTACTGAGATTCATCTGAAATCATCCCAGGCAGGGAGGGCACATTTGCTGCATATGAAAAAATGAACCCAAAGAAGGGGAGGAAAAGGTCACTCTTTAGGGCAACTGGAGGAATGAACAGGAAGCTTTTAACTAGTGGTTTTAATTAGCACTGATATTATTTCCTGAGCAGTTCTCTAGTGCATCCTTTTTAAATTGCTGACAGGTGTGTTTGTGTTTCATGACAGACTTTTCAGCCAATAAAAACCTGAAATGTAAAGTGGTTGGGATGTCAAATTACTTAAGAAAACTTTTGAAATGGGCCTAATTACACGATGATTGTTTTAATTGACAAAGGGTGGAGGGGCTAGATTTTATTTGAGGGTCACTATTCTTCTGCAGATCTCCACTGAATAAAATAACATTTCACTGGGTCATTCTGGGGCAGAGAATGTGTCATTCTGGGGCCTGTGAGGTGTGAAAACTGGAAGCATTTGTGGTCCGGGCGAGTGGTCAGTGGTGGTTTCGTGGAAGGCACATCTAGTATTACCTCTGAGGCTGTGGCTGCCACCACAGCAATAGCCTGAGTTGTCATAGCACCTACGAAACTGCTCACCTGCTGAATGCACCCAGTGTGTCAGGTCTGTGCTGCCCAGTGCCACGGCCACTATGACATGTGGCTTCTGAGCATTGAAACGTGGCCAGCACAAATTGAGATGTGCTGGAAGTGCAAAATACACACTCGATTTTGAAGACTCGGGACTCACCGAGAGGACAAAAAGAGAATGTAAACTATCTCCATAATTTTTATATTGATTACACATTGAAATAACATTTGGGATCTGTTGGGTTGAATGCAAGACACTGTTAAAATTAAATTCACCTGTTTCAGTTTACCCTCTTAATGTAGCTATGAGAAAATTTAAAATTACATATGTAGCTGCTGCTATACAGTTTCTTTTGGACAGCTCTGTGTTGGATCCTTCCCGAAGACCCGTATTCAAGGACCAGTATTTATTGACTAAGCTGGAGTTCTTCTCTCCAGGGTTACCCTCAGAAGCTGGGAGATACTAGTTAGAGTATGTTAATATCCTGAAGGGCCCTGAGCCCATTCAGATATGTCTTAAGTTGATTGAAATGGACTCTGAAGTCACTGTTCCCTTTTGGTTTCATAGTTAATGCCTATTTATCACCGTTATTACCCTTAATTTCAGACGGGGGAGGGGGAGACCCAGCCAGCCTTCAGCCATGGCTTCTGTTCGCTGTTTTAAATCCTTGGAAGTGAGACACACACAAAAATTTAAATAGGACTTCTAGTTAACAGAAGTCCTTTTGGCTGTTTATTTTTTCCTCTCCGTTTGTATTTATGTGAAGCATAAAACCCAGAGCCTGATGCACAACTGAAAGATGGGCTTCCTTGTTTTCTTTTGTGTGAGAATCTCTTGCTCGCCTTTTGTCGCTAGTGTGGGTTCTTGTTTGACTGGCACGGCTTATTGGACTATAACAAGCGTAACCCTGCCTCCTTTGTCATGGGACAATTCTCCCACAAATCCCGAACAGTGTGCATTCTTCCAACACACTATTGGGTGTGCACTGGAATTGAAAGAATTGCTGAGCCCTGCTACTTCATCTCCTCCCCAATCTCTTTGTGATTTCTCCCCCTTCTTCTCCTCCCCCTACCCCAGTCCCCTCCACCTCGCTGAAATGAACACTTTACCAGGCCGGAAACATTTAATCGTCTCCTTTTGAAAAAATTAATTGAAACTTCTCCACTAGTTACCTTTTGTGTTAGTACTTAATGCAATTTTTTAAGAAAGAGCTGGAGGAGGAGGAGAAGGAGGATGGGCCAGAATATTTAATTTTTAAATGCCCCTATTGGCTTAAAAACAAAAGGCATTAGGGGTGTTCTCACTAAGAACAGGGAATATATTGTAAAGCGTTGACTTGGTTTTAAAGTCCATGATTTTTGTAGTTATAACTGTCATCACAAAGAATGGGGCAAGTCACTTCACAAGTTTTCTTTTTTTCATGAAAAAAAAAAAAAAATCCCTACTACATTTTTAACACCAAAACCACTAATACTGTGCTCCCACTTTCTAGCATAAATGAGAAATACATTATGTTTTATTTTCATCTACATCAAATACTATACATTTTATCCCCTTAAATTGTCGCCCTCTGCTCCTTCTTGCTATTTTGGTTGAGTTATTCCTTCCCTTGAAAAGTTACTAAGGAGGTGATGATGATGTCCTTTGAAGGGGGGGGCAGTGGGAGCAACTGGGAATAATTCTTCATTACTGAAAGCTGTGATTTATTTTAGCCTAATTGTAAAGTTACTGCAAATTGCTCAAAAGCTTTTTAAAGATCCCAGTGATTAGATTTTTTAGGGGGGTGGTGCACCGGCAAGGAGGGGGCAGCTAGAAGGGGAAATAACACCTCTAATCCCGCTTCTGGTAAATAGGCTGCCAGCTTTTCAAATGAGTTTCCTTTCTATTAGTCAGAATATTATGCTAAGCCTTAAGCATTAGTTTTTTTATGTTACCATAGCAGCCTTATTCCTGCAGGGTGGTGACCTGTGATGATTACAGTACAAAGCTTATAGGGTCTTGAAACCCCCTTTGAAGATGAAAAGTCTTTGATGGTTTATATTTATGCAAATCTCTTAGATATGATTTACCCAACTGAGACTGAATGGAGAGATGATTAAAATTCCCTTTTCCTTTGATATCTATTAATGGCTGAATATTTCTTAAATTTAAAATGGATATCTATGTTTTCATCTTTATTTACAAAAATATCTTTATCATACCTGTATTTCTTTTCCATCTCCCCACATCTTATTAGATCTAGAGAGACATAATAGATTTACAATTTAGAGTGTGTTTTTCCCTCTTTTTGAAGGGGGGGAGGAATCTGGGCAAGAGCTTTTGTATGTTTCCAGATGATAGATTTTGGAATTTGGGCTACCCCACTGGCAGCACAGAGCTAGCTGTGAACTGGTCTCATGGAAAAAATTGGCGAGCTTTGGTCTTCAAAGAATTAAACTTCCTTTTTAAGGTCTTCCTAGGTAAGCTAAAAAATTATGAAGAAAAACCTTCTGAACAAAGGGTAATGGTGCTATAATGAATAATATGGTCTCCACGTAGAAGGCTGCTGAACAGTTACACTGATGTCAGTGCTGGGCACGAAACAAAAGCAGAATGGCAGGTAGACGAAGACTTCATTGTTTTAAGGGCCTACCATTTGCATTTAACGAAGCGAGGGCAAGAGGCCTTCAGTAAATACGTTTTCAGGGAAAGCGTTTATACTCTCTCCTTCCAGTTCTAACTCCTAGGCCTCAAGGTGCTCCTTTGGGAGAAAAAAATTGTAATGCTTGGGATTTTACTATTTAGTTTGGTGGGAACTTCATTACCTTTTTCTTTGGTCTTCTTCTTTTTTAAAAAAATTCTTTTGTGTGGACGAAAGGGGCTTGGATATTACTTCCTCAGGTCAAAGACTTAAATACTACTTCTGTGTCTACATTTCCGTGATTGTACATTTTTTCCCCACTAATCACCTATGACACTTCTGATTTTAGTTTGCAGACAAATTTTCATTCCATTTAAAAGGCCGAAAACTTGAACAACCAATGAATTTAATCCCTTTTGTGGAAACTGCAATGGGTTTGCTCAATTTTAAGGTAAGAAAGCCATAATATGGTTAATAAGTTAGCATTTTATTTATCACCTAAAGAGAACTTTTGCTTTCAATTTTAACATCTTCTTAAAATGTGTTTCTAGAAAGATTTATAAGCAAAGGAAATGTTGAACACCATTTGTTATCTGTAATAGTCCGAAAACCAAGTTACCAGCATCTTAGAAAACAATGAAATCAGTTAAGTAGAAGGAAAAGCTTCCCAGTCCAAAATTTTTAAATGAAGCATTTATATATTCCTAGTAACAATTTTAATTAATCACTGTGTAATTATATGCCTTGAATTATTGCATTTATAGACTAAATGTACATGAAAATTTATTTTGTCACCCTTATGAATTAACTTTGAAATGTTCTTTTCTTTCAATTGTCTTTTCATTGGGAAATTTTCTGCCCTCTTTGTAGCAACATTATCAGTAATGACTAGCGGAGAAGATTATTGTTTGTAAGTTCATGCACACAAATAATTTGCAGTACATTTTTTCAATTTGCCACATTAGAACATTGAATATCTTCTAATATACATGCGGGAATATTAACTGAGCCAAGTATTTTCAACCGCTGTGTGGTTGCACTAAACTACCTGCCTTAACAAATTCAGAGCTAGCTCGTCTTTTCTCGTTTATCAGGGGGCATTTATATTATTTTCCAAAATATGCCTCTCATTCCACCTGACCTGCAAACATCAATCTAGCACCCCCTTTCAGAGTTCCTGGACTCCCACCCCCCACCCCAGCCCCCACAGAAGGCAGGAGCAAAGAAATAACTAAAAACAACAGAAAAAAACATAGTCGAACTATACTGGAGAATGTGTGAGCGGCAACTCTGAGGCCTTGGGATGTGTGGAAGGGGGTCGAGTGCAAATGTTTGGGGAGCTGCTTCAAGACTTGTCCTGTGAACTGCGTGTTTACACAACTAACTATAAATTCTCCCAGCCAGCCCCAGAATCCTGAGAATATAATCAAAAGCATATCCCTTAGATGCAACCAGATTCATCCAGTGATTTAATTTTTAAGCACTGCTTCGCTATTTTATTCCATAATGTACTTAGAAGCACTTAGAATGTCTGAAATTAATCAACAGTGTCTCCATCGGTTCCTCGTTTCTTTCCCACCCACATATATTAGCAGGTTATATCTCCACCTTTCAAGATTCATGGTTTTGTCTATGACAAATGGTATTTGCCTTGACTTTCATATATAAATGTCGAAGTTGCTTTATGAACACATCTTGGATGACTTGTTGCATTTTTATTTTCCCCTCTGGAGTTGCAGGTTTTTGTACTGTCTTTAATCCTGAGACCATGTGCTTGATCCTAATGCAAATAATTCAATTAGTTTGATTTTAAAATTCCTTCCTTCTCCCCTGTGGTTTTATGAGAGTCTCTTAAAGCAAAAACAAATTCTGGAAAGATATAAATAACTTACAGCGCAAGCAAAATGAGTTAACTCAAAGTTTCTCCAAAAATGAGATGAACTACAATTTGGGCATTATAACTATATTAATATAATCCATTAAACAAAGCAAATATATACAATATACTTATCTTGGATGATATTAAATACCTTTTGAAAGGGGTAAATTTGGGCTGCGTTTTTAGGACTGCCTTCAGCCAAACTGTGTTAAGAGTCAGGTCGTCCTGTTACTGAAAGGCACCATGCCTCTTCCCTCTGATGCACGCGTTTCCGTGAGACTTGGTTCTGTTCTGCTCTTTTACAGGCAGTGTGTGAAGAAACCCTAAAGATCGGGCCTCAAGTAGGTCTCTTTCTAGATGCAGTCGTTTTTGGAGGAGAAGACTTTCGAGCCAGCATAGGTGTCAAAGACCTCTCTCTCTCTCTTTTTCTGTGTGTGTGTATATGTGTGTATATATTTTTTCTTTGGCCCTCAAGAATGGACATTTACATAACAATGTATATTTGCCAACCGTGACAATGGTTTTTCATGACAATGGAATGGATACTACTTCCTGATAATTTAGAGGTCCTCATAGCTGCCCTGCTTCTAGAACACTACATGGTTACTTCTGTTCATTTACAGAAGACACGAGCAATAGAAAGCCTGCTGCAGCGCCAGGTGTGCTCAAGAATATATGGCATCTCCTTTGCGCCTAATAAATATATTATGTGAACAGCCTCACCGTTGCTTCAGTATTTTGTTTTCACATCCGTCCGTGGGCTGTCTAGATTTCTAATGCAAATTTAAGGCGATTTCACATTTGCCTTAATGAATTATTTTCTGCAGAATATGCGGTATATAAATATTATTTTAAATGGATCTTAAATTTTTCTTACAATATGTTTCCGAACTCTTAGTATTAAATGTGATTCTCACTGATTCTCACCTTCCCTCGTGCGCTGCACTTGAGGGGTCTGCGTGTGTGACTGGAGACCGTGAAGCATTTAGAAAAGAGCCGAGGCCACAGAAACCAGCCCCAGTGACCTGAAGACAGGCACTTTCCCTGAGCAGGGAGTGGCATACTCCAAATATAAACAGGGACACTTCCCTCCCCTCGGGGTGAAAACACTGAATTTATTTGAACGAGTCTTTCTAGGAGACTTGTGTATCCAATGGTTCAGCGGGCTACAGAAGGCATATCAACGCTTTCCAGCCCTCTCAAAACAAGTGCCCTCCCGTCTCCCCAAGTTCTGCATCCAGACAGACCCTGAAGCTGAAGCATTTGGCTCAGAACTTCAGTTTGGACAGGGCATGGCAACCACAGCACACACAGTTCTGTGCTTGCTGTGAAACACGAACCATTGCCCTGCATAGCTGCTGGGCCACCTTTTGTGGTGCTGTCTTTGGACTGGGACTTTTCAAGCAATGATAAGAAGGAAAAAAAATATATCAGGAGTCCCTTGTGACCCTGACCCAGCCTCCCAGAATGGGGAAGGGGCCTTCTCTTAATGCAGGTAGAAGTAATTCTATTGAAAGATGCCTTGTCAGTTAAACAGACACATGAGATTTAACTTGGCCTCCACGTATCCCTGTCTTCATTTATATTTGAATAATTATTTTGCAAAGGAGCAATTCCCAGGGAGGTATAGATATCTGTACAAACTGAGGTTTTATAATAAATATCTGGGTGCGGTTTCCAAAGTTAAAGCCTCCTTTTTCTGTTAACATCCCATTTTCAGGTGCAACAAGTAGTAAAGAAACCCTGGATATTCTCTACGCCCGGCAAAAGATTGTTGTCATAGCGAAAGCCTTTGGTCTCCAAGCCATAGATCTGGTGTACATTGACTTTCGAGATGGAGCTGGGCTTCTCAGACAGTCACGAGAAGGAGCTGCGATGGGCTTCACTGGTATGATTCCTGTCTTAGAAAGCAGTGTCTAAATTAGCAAGCATTCCAGAAAAATAGAAATGTGACCCGAAAACACTTCTAATCTCATCAGATATCTTATTCCACTATTTGAAATATGAACAAGCCACACAGGGGAAGAACTTGCCAGACACATTGTCATGGTTTTCTTTGGCCCTGCAAGTCAACAAATCACTCATTTTATTTCCTCTTTATATTAGTTGCTTTTTTTTTTTCCTCCATCCTCTTAATCATTTTGTTGTGGTCTTGGCTGACCTGTAGGGAGGGATGAGGCTGTTAAAAGAGTGTTTTTGAGTGAACCGCCATAAGAATTTTGGTTGATGGATAGAAGAAAAATCTCCTAGAATATCCAAAATTTAATTCATTTCTGAAAAAATGTTGGTGATATTATCTTTGGTTTTTGTTTTGTTTTGTTTTTTACTCATAACTAGTTGTTTGCTCTTCTGCCACTCCAAGCCCCTCCTCTCTCTCCCACCTCCCAGTAAGTGTCCGTATACCTGGCGACACCTACGGGCATAGGCTGGCACTAGGCTCAGCCGGCCCCTTGCAGTCCTGTCTGGGGCACAGGCGGCTATCTGTTGATTGGTGTGCCTGGTCACTCAGGTCCCCATGAGCCAGGGGAGCGACTGAAAATTGTGTTTTTACAACAGAGATCTATTTTTCGAAAAACCACAATAGGAGTCTACACACAAACATCCACATGAAGTTGCACACACACAAACTGACGACCATGGGAAAAACACAGTGTGCTCCTTCACCCTTACCTGTTCTTCTGTTGAAAGTTCTAAGAATATTAATATCAGAAAGGCACCCGAATAATAAGGAAAAGAGACGTGCATCCTGATATTCCCGTTATAACTGTTTTTGAATTGTATCTAGGGAGCGGTTACTGAAAGAAACGTTTCATAAAGCAAGCTTAAATGTAAAAAATACCTTAATGGATGATGATTTAGTCCAAAATAAAATTGAATGACCTAAGAAGCTATTTTAGTGTTATATTCGAATTAAATAAAGCTCTGAGTTTGTTCTTGTGTTTTTTACACAAAGAGCTAAAATAAATATGATCCCCCCCAAATTTTTAAATAAGTGTGATCCCATATAGGGAAATATTCTTCAATTATCTGAACTATTAATAAGCGAATTCTCCCTGCGTTTCATAGTGACTGAGGAAAAAAGGAGTCCTCTGCCACATTATGTGATTGTGCTTGTTCCTGCCTCTTTCCAACGACTGGTTAGGATGTGACCCAAATGAAAAAGTTGGAGAAAAACTCCATGAAATTTATCTAATAGACCCTGATGTTGTTGGCCTGCAATGTATGGCACTGGCTGCCAGGCAGCCAGATGTTGCTCCAAAATGGGAACTAATTCAATAAAAAAGACAAAGCACTGCATTGACACTGACCCCTCCACGATCACTCAGCAGAATCTGAGTTTCCTCTGCCTCCTCTGGGGTAAATGTCTGCCCCAGAACTTCTCCGGGAGCTGGAGAGTGTCTCCAAGATACAGGACTAGATTAACTTGGCCCCTAATTCAATCGCAGAAGACAGGCTATTTCAAATCAGGTTTAAATTTCTAGACTGTGCCCAACTCAGCACGAGGAGCTTATGGACCTGGCACTATTGTTTCTCCACGACGGGGAGTATTAAATCACTAAAAAAAGGGGGGAAGCGAGGATAATGGGAAGGCACAGAGGGCACAGTGCCCATTATATATTAAAGGGAACCAGGCCATAACTAGGGAACCACACTTCGTAGGCAGTTTGCAATTTTTAGAGAGAAAGTCTTTGTTGTCCCAATTATATTTCTGCATACCAATAAGAGGTAATCAATCTGATAATAAGATAGGAGATTATTTGTGGTCGTTTTTAAAAATCCATGTTTTTTATTGAGTATTTTAGATCACTCAGGATCTGTTTGTCCTAGTTGTTTGGCATTTGATTGCCATACCTTGGGCTTTGCACAAGGAGAAGGAAAAGAAGGAAAGAAAAAAAGGAAAGGAAAAGCAGGAAGGAGAGAGGGAGGGATGGAGGAAGGAAGACATGTCTTATCTGAAGCAGGTGGTTGAAAGGTTTAAAATCTAATGAGAGTATTGTGTTATCCATAACACTGGTAAGGAAGACTAAGTCTGTGCTATAAGGATTTCCTGTACTTTAAAAAATGATACATATTTTTAATGAGTTGTAGTTTTTAAAAGTTAGCTGTAGTTTCTTTTCTGCGGTCATTTCCCAGAGTCACAGTCCATGTCGATTGATTTTTAAATCAATGCATTGGCTGTATAAATGGCCATTAACTTTAGGAATGTTTTTATAAAAAAGAAACCAAAACTAAATCTTGGAATAAAGCTTTAACAGCTGACTTCATCATTACAGTTACTCCAGTGCTACATGCTGAGAAGAAAGATTATAAATATGAAGCACTATAGGTTTTCTTCTTTTTTGCAGTCTATTGTAGAAGACAAAAATGACACCATCATACAGTTACCTAAAAGACTTGACAGGTATTGATTTAAAGCACGATATATCAAGCGGTACTGTAAAAGGGATTTCATGGTCATAAATTTTAATGTCTTCCAATTTTGCACCCTCTCAGTAACTTGTCAATAACAACTCTTCTGTATAAAATATTTGCCTGGTTCCCACATGGCATTAAAGTCTGCTGTACAGTTGTTGGAATATCTAAGATGTGACGAAAGACAACTTCACATCTGAGTGCCCACACATTTCTAAAACCTAACATGGATCTTAAATTAGCCTCATTGCCAAAATATAGGCACCGGAGGATGGAGAGCTAGCAGTGATTTCACAGTACTTTAAGTAGTTTGTGTTTTGCTCCTCAAATTATAGTGCATGTACCAAGAAGTTCCCATGAAATCTGGCTTTTTACACATTGGTGTAAATTATGTACATAAATTATGAAATTCAGGGCTAACAATCAGTAGGAAATGACTACCAGAACTGACATCCTTTATTAACAATATCCTAACAACTATTAGATTACTTAAATATAATCTCAATACCTACTACTGAAAAAAGCCTTCTTGTCATCCCTCATGTTATTCGTTCCCAGAAATTATTCCTCAGGTAATTTAAAGAATCTTTATTTATAAAAGTGTTTAACATTTTATTAGTATGCTGACAGAAAAGAATGGAATAGCAATGTGAGGATGTTTTAATTATGCCAATGGAAAGAAAAGATATTATTATATTTATCCACTTAAACTCTTTTACATGAAACACTAAAAATATGTTTTTACAAGCATCATTCTTTTTTTCATTCTAAGAGAATAATGACAAGTAATAGGAACTGACAGCAAGATATAAAACATCAAGGATATAATTCGTACTGTCTAAATGTTAAAATAACTATTTCAAAAGCAAAGCAAATTGATGTACCAACAAATATATTTAGCAGAGTAAATGTTCATTAAGTGTACATTATTTTTAAAGAGCCAATTATGTTCATAACTTTATCACACAGCACAATATAATCTCATCATTATTATAACATTAAATTATGTTGCATTTTATTAATGATCTGATTGGATTCCACACTTCCCTGATTGTTAAGTTGTTTTTTTAACGACTGCATTATTTCACAAAATCCTATGGCTCTTATCTTTGTATGATGTTTTCATTTAAAATCTTTCAACTATAAAAAGAATCATGAATCTTTTTGGAAGGTATTTCTACAGAGATAAGATTTCTTCTGGGATATGTAGGGAGCTATAAAGAGGGAAATACCCAGTCTTGATTCTATAAGCCAAAAGGGAAAATCTGGGTATATTTTTGGACAGAGAAACTTTAAGTATCTATTTTTAAATTTTTAAATGGAGTAATCCAGAAGCTGCAGTGTTCAACTCTGCCTTCTATTTTACCATACCGAATAAAATATTTTCATTCAAATCCAATTTTCTATTGGGGGTTAGAAATGACACATAAACTATGTTCGTCTAAAAGAAAAAAAATTATACTATTGTAAGACTGTATTTGATAATAATATAGTTGTAATGACTGCATCTGTAAGCTTTATGAAAACCAGCAGACCATTTCTTAGAGAAATCATGGAAAGAGGTATAATTCTACAAAGAAAGCAAAAGACACCTTATAAAATTTGAGAGAATTCTCATTTAATTTTTTCTACTTCAACTAAAAATAATCGCTCTAATTTGCAGACATTATCCTTTAAAGTCCCAGCCAAAGCAGTTATTCAACAAGCTGCCTCGTCAGCCCACCTGTAACTAAAAATAAGAGATTATCTGCCCTAAGGTGGCATTTCTATAGGATCGGAAACACAATTACTTCCATTGTTGTAGTTTTGCTTCTGTGGTTATTCTGGAAAAGCCTGTCTGATTGCAGGTTTTGTTTTGTTTTGTGTTCTCAATAAAAAGTTTTAAATTAGTTATTTAACATACAGTCTATGAGGCCTTCAGGAACCTCACGCGATAGAAACATTTTGTTTGAACATCTGTTCGTTGTTTCGTGGTTCCGACGTTATTAATCTTCTTGTAGGTAAGCAGGTGATTCACCCTAACCAAATTGCCGTGGTCCAGGAGCAGTTTTCTCCTTCCCCTGAAAAAATTAAGTGGGCTGAAGAACTGATTGCTGCCTTTAAAGAACATCAACAATTAGGAAAGGTAAATGTTTTGTCAATGCCTTGGCTGAAAGTAGTGTTGAAAATATTGTCGGGAAGAATGAAACAAATATGTTGTGTGAATGGTTTAAGAAAACTCATTGTATCTGGGGAGGGGGGAAAGGGAGGGAACAACAATCACCAGTGAGAAAATTGCTTGAGGTAGATTTGCCCTGCCCAGGTTCCTAAATATTTCACTAACTGGCTCTCAAGTCTCTCATTTTATTCTTTTCATAAAATATATTGGCAGCCTTAGAGAAAATAGAAGTCTGTTTAGTTTTTCTCTACAGACTTCTATGCAGCATTCATATGAAAATAATCTTAGATCAAAGTGAGAACAAGTTGCAATGAAATAAACACAGTTTGACTAAATGGTTCTTGTGGAGGAAAGAAATAAATTTCAAGTTATTTTAATTTGGGGGGGAAAAAAGTACAGAAATCTCCTCCGGTTTAGTCATTTGAGAGTGGGAGGTTGTATATGTGTTTGTACCGATTTCTGGACCTGAGATTTGGATGGAATGGAAAGCAAATTAACACTGGAGTACGGTTGTTCCTAATTTAGTGCATCATTGAGCCTCGCGTTTCCTGCTCTGTGGGTTTCTGCTATGTAAATATTGCAGTGGTAATGCACAATCTGTCTCCACTTTGTGCCAGTAACACTTAAATTAGGTGTCGCCTGAAGGAAGATTTTATGCTAGTTGCAGCATTGTCAGTTAATTATCTTAAAGGTTATTTGCAATAATACCGTTTGCCTCTTTTTAAGAGGATAGGAGGGAAAGTTACATTTATAAATCTATCCTAGAGGTAATCTCTAAACTCAGCCTTGTGACTTCCAGAAGGAGTAAAGTTTTGATACCTACAATGCAAAATTACTTAGGAGAAAGAATATTGAAAATTTATTACAGTTCTGAATATTAAACATTCCCCCCTGCAAAAAAAAAAGAAAGAAAAAAGAAAAGAAAGAAAAAAGAAAAACTGGTTTTTAGTGGTGAACCTGAACCTGTGACATCCACGTGAGACGTGTTCCTTGCACTTTTCACTGGCGGCAAGGACACTTGAAAATCCCAGGACTTGCCAAAGTGGGTAACAATATTAAATGGGTCATTCCCTAAGGAAGTCCATGTTCAACCTATGCACACATGGGCACACTCACACACCAGCAGGCTCATCTTTGCACAAACTCACACTTAATATCCAAAGGCAGAATATGTTACATTGGAAATATCCAATTTGGACTTATACCAATTTCATGATAAATAGCATCCTTCCATTTCCCATCAACAGTGGCCATCAGAAAAGTAATGCATTTCATAGAAACAGTATTTTAAGTTGACTTTGTGTTTAATGTCCATTTTTGTGTCTCAACCCCAAATCAAGATTCCCATGAATAAATCTAGATATTCACCTAGAATGAAGAGCCATGGACTCCCATGTACACGTGCAAATAACTCCATCCACCCCCTTCTCTCACATACCTGCCCACGCACACCCACACTGAATGCTCTGTACCTCTGCTATGAGCCTCGTGCCAGCTGAGGACATAAACACTTCCTGGTGAAATAGGAAACTGGGGCAGCATGTAAACTGTTGAAAGGAGAGAGCAGAGTTCCAGTCTGGACCAGCACTGTGTCTATGACCCATCCCAGCTGGGTTTCACACTGGGTAGCATCAAAGGAGGCCAGTTGGCATTGTAAGCAGACAGGGGTGTGGGAGAGGTTACCCTGAATTTCAGTAGCCAACAAACAGAAGTCAAACCAGAAACACGTGTTTTTCTTAGCATTTACATTTTTGAATGAGGAAAATGACCCTTTCCTATTGTATCTTGAAAAGTGTTGTTCCTTGGGAAAATGCTCCCAAAGTTGCCATAACTTTTGATGATGGCAACTTAAATGTTCAATTCTGGACTTTTTTTAAATAAGAAATGCCCTCTTGTTGGGGTATAAGCTCTCACACCAGTGTGGCAGGATAGCTTTTCTTAACACAGAACCATAGAAATTAGAGCAGAGGGGAGACTAACTATTAGGTAATTTCTTCCCTGCCCCATTTGTGGAGGTTTGTTTCCTACAGCAAATTCTCCTGGTGTTTTGTCCAGCAAGGTTGAAATGATTCAAGTAATGGGGCTTCCAGTAGGGACATATGGTTATTTTATCCAGTTAGCATGTTTCTTTCACTTTGCCTATAAACTGGCCGGTCACAGAAATTGGATCTGCAGGTAGGTGACTCTGGATCTTGAGGGGATCTTGGGGTTTAAATAATGTGGGTTCTGTTTGTAAAGATTTTGTGTAAATGGGTTGCACAATTGTATAAAGTGTTGCTTCCAACAAACATCTAGTCTGTTTTATGTCAAATGTGAATCACTGATGAACACATGAACCCTCAGATATTTTGTCCAAAGCGCAGATGACTCTCTCAAAGATAGGAAACTGGTGGTTTGTGTCCTAGTGTGACAGTCATAAATTTCCAAAAGACCTTTTTCCTCCCTCTGATAAAAATTTCATTCAAGTAATGCTTTTATGTAGAAATGATACAAGAAGGAAAAATTATGTATCTTTGCTTTTCTCTACTTCTTCCTGCTCTCATCTTAAATTATATCCTGCCCAAACACCAAAGGTATAGCTGAAGTTCAGTTAGTGCTGAGCCATTTGTGTTCTCTACAGTAATAATCATTACTATTATTCAAACATAAAAGCTCTACCTTTTCTTCCTGTCCTCTCCAAATGGCAAAATTCATGGGACTACTTCGACCATGAGCAGATAAATTATTGGGGATCAGACTTTGGTATTACAGAATTTGGGGGATGTTTATTTTAATTAAAAGTCCTAAGGAAATAGTTTGATATCCTTAGTATAATGTTGGTTGACAATCACTTCACATTAAAAGAAATAACGATCAGCTCATATCATCTGTCCCTGTTTGGCAGGCAGTGATTCTTGTGGCTGCTTTGTTTCAGGAAACTGAAAGGTATTTTCAGGCTAAAAAATTTTGCCTGGCACAGTAGTCCAGTGACAGTAATCAGAGTTAGGGCTAGAGACTGACACTGGGGATTCTAGGTTATCTTATCTTATTAACATCTGCTGGAAAAAGTTTAGACATTCTAAGTAATCTCTGCTCCTATGTTAATTCCCAGAAACTAAAATGTCTTCAATTTAGCCGACATCAGCTGTAAGGTCTCCATCCACAACACTAATCAAACTGACTTTCTTCCATCCTTCCAGAAAAATGTATTTTGAGATACAACCTGCATACCATTAATTGTTTTAGTTTCAAATTATTTGGTAAAATGCTTTAGCCAGGATAAATCATTTCCACATGATTTGTTTTAAATTTATAAAGGATTTTCTTAAAAGTTAATTCCATTTTTATGTCTTTTTTATAATAATGGTGATTCCATTAATATTGGAAAATTATTCATTCAAAATGAATTTAATATGCTTATTAAAGTAATATGATTTCAATAATTCTTTTTTATCAATAAAGAATTTTGTATAGTATAAAAATTGAATACTTGAAAACATCTGAAGCAAATAATCATCTAATATTAATTGATATCAATAGAAATAATTTTATATAAACAAATACATATAGCATACATGTTTATACAACACATAAACATTCAAGTATGTATGATAACATGTATTTCCTCAAATCTATATTATGAACTTAGTGCTAAAGTTTTTAATCTCTCCATATTCATCACTTCTTAGGCAAAAATGACAGCTAAAGGAAACAGTTGCTTTTTTAAAACAGTCACTAATCACAGGAAATCTTAATATAGGAATTTACCATTTCTTTCCAAATGGAGACCCTAACAGAAAAATGTGAAGGAATAGCACAATGTGTTATGTGTGTCAAATTTTTAAAGATACTTTGCTAGAATATTCATATTTTGAAGTATCTGGCTACAAATACGGCTTTGCTTCATTTTCAGTTTTCCGAACATTCTCTTTGATTCATATAATGGATGTACGTGCTTTGTTTGGTTTTGGAAGGATTTTGTTTAGCTTTTTCAATATTTCTCCTTTGTTATAGCTTCACAAGTTGGCTAAAGCCTGAGGAAGGGGAAGTGTTCCTCTTTAAATTCTGGGTTCAATTAACAATCACAAATGTCAAAAACAAGGTCACTACCTGACCTAACAACTGTAAATATCACAGATAGCCAACACTCTCATTTCACTCCGGAGAGAAAAACAGTGCAAGCTGATAAATTCACATTAATAAGCACATCTTCTACTGGAATATAAACTGGAAACGTATCTCTTCATAAAGAAAGAAAAAGGAAAGTAAGAGTTTTCTTCCTTATGTAAGTCTCTCCATCTAGAAACTTTACAAACAGTAATACATCCCTCCTCCCAAAATATTGAAAGCAGATCATTTTCACAGGTGTCTGATTGCCGCTCGCACACCTTTCATTTCTGTTTCCAAATGCAGGGTTTTACAAAAGAAATACTGCTTGGTCCAGATGGCCTTCTAGAAGGCTCCCTGAGAGAACTCAGGAGAAGTTTCTCTAGCCAAAAATATTGTTTCCGCTTATTCAAGTGCCAGAAATCCCACTGCCACTCTTTCACGCAGATCGAATAAACCATCTAAAGATGTGGTTGCTGTCTTTGTCAACTGAAAGGGTTGATTCCCCTATTAGACGACAGTGTATCCTCCCACACCCACCCAGCCCACTACCCACAGCATTCCCTCTGGATTTATGAGCAGGAACACAAAAATCAGAGCTGAGAGGTTTGTAGTGAAAATGAAAGATAAAGGGACATAACTCTATTTTTGAGATTCTTAGTAATTGCACTTTTCCCTTTATTTCCCTGTTCATTTAACATTTTCAGAAAGATCGGCCATAATTTTGACTTTTAAAAGTCCAGTTCTTAGGAAAGCTGAGTCTGCCAATGATGACTTTAAGATTGGATGCATTAACACAAAATTGCAAAATTTTAAACATGTAAAACAAAGTAATGAAATGCTACAAAGTATTGAAATCATATCATATCTTATTTCACTTT